TGTCAAAGGAATCCAAGTATATGAGAGTCAAAAAGTAGAAATTAAGTTGCTTATAAGCTAAAAATTGAGGAGAACATAAGCCAATGCCCGTAAGAATTCATCCTAAGGACTACAGAGTTCTAGAGCTTCTTTTCAATTCAGTCTTACGAGGATTTAGACAACCTAACCGTGCACTTTAGCATGCTTGGATGGTGACAAATTGTACGCGCCAGCTACATTTGCTTCACAATTTCCAACAACTTCAGACTAGTGAGCTTTATGTTTCTCTCCCACATCCCGTGAATTTTCCCTTTCTGGTACATTAGATGATTTCCTGCCTGTTTCCCTACTGTCGACTGGTACTCCTGAATCAGATTTGGATAGAGCATTTCCCACTGAATCTATGAACTCCTTTAAGGAGTTCTCAGTCGCAGATGAAGTCCCCTTGAGCATGTTCATGCCCGACTTGCACTGCTTCTCAAACATCATCTGAAGGTGATGCCTTTGTTCTTCTATTCGAAGCAGCAGATTTCTTTGAATCTGCAAAAGAAAAATTAGAGAATAATGTATGAAGGTAATAAACAGAAACTGCTAGTTACACTCAGAATTTTAATCCCCAATTTTCCTTCGAATATGTAACTTAAAATGCCAGTTGTAAAATCTCGACTAAGCTGCATCACTTTCCCAAGGCTGTAGATTTGATACTAGGGAACTTATCAAACAAGACAGTAGATGTGCCACCTATAAAAGATATTTCACTATGATACTAACCAAGAAAACAATATCCCTCAGCAAATTATCAAACATAGCAATAATGAAAGACTGCATTAGTATATATTTCTCTGTTGCTGCAAGGAGCATTAATATTCTGCTTATGTTATGTATCAAATATTAAATTTTGCATCAGCCAAATTACAACTTAGGAACCTGATACGAGGTTTAACCTATATTATATGCCACCTTCAAGTTAAAACCAATATGCCGCGTGAATTCATACCTCTACTGCACATGAAGCCGCTTTTGGACTTCCATTTGCATTCTCAACGCTACAGTGATCTCAATGCCCCTATTCCAAATCAAGAGGTGCGCAATCAGCAATAGAAGATAGAGGATATAGAAAACTAAAACGAAACAGAGATGTGGAACGAGGGACCTCGGAATCAACAGAATGAGGCTACGTAAGTGATGTCCCACTGTTAGTTGATTGAGATACGAGATGAGATTGTCTTGGATGGTTTTCTTGTTGAGGCAGAGATGAAAAATGAAGATCAGTAGAAAATCCTGAGGATGAAGAAAATAAATGCCCAACTACCCCACTGTTGGAAGACATTTGAGAAATGACAGCTGGAGAATGTTGCATGAGTTCCCTCTCCTGGAAACCTGCTGAACAGGAAAAGAAGACGACATAGTACCAGAAACCCCAAAGTTACTAAGTTGTCTTGGACCTGATCTTTGAATAGATAAAGAAGGTTTTGCTTCCATTGCGGCTGTGTAGAAAAGGCAACTACAGCTTACATTATACATAACTAGCTCAGTTTTTCCACTCACCTGAGGAACCTATACCACAAGATTATGTCCATATTCGTATCTCAAATAGGAATATCTCAATAAATGAAATGCAAATAAAGAATCACCAAGACCGTTAATCTATTCTAAAGTTGTAAAAAGGAAACATTCACGACAAGTCAAGCAAGGAATTTCCTTCCTCGTGATTATGAAGAAATGAACTTGGGTCCAATTCTTCTCATAGCGGGAACAAAATAACCGTGTTATAAACCTATTATTTATAGTAGCCAAATAAAATACAATCTCTTGGCACAAATTCGTTTACTCATAGGTCACAACCTACATTGATCTGAAAGGATTATTTCAGGCACTCCTCAGCTCTTAACACAAATTTGTCCTCTCTCAACAATTATACTTCATGCTAGATGTGCGGAAAACCTATCGAGAAGCTTTTATACAGTCTTCAGAATTTATAAAATAGGATTATGGAAACATTGTTTTTTCTATAGAGATGTTCAGTCTTGCTAGAAATTTTTGGGGATCGCAATGCTGAATGCAGTATAAGCTCAACTCGGTATCTTGCTAGAAAAACACTGTTTTTCTATAGCATATGCTCCTACACTACGACCATAGTCAGGTGATAGCTTTTATATGACTAGCAACAAAATCAGTCATTTTGCGGCTCAACGCAAAGATAACAAATTGCAGAACTATGATCCATATACTATGATTAGATTCATCTAAAATTTTAACTAGTCGTTGCTCCTTTATCCTAAGATCGTAATATAATACTTTGATTACAATTTTACATGAAAAGTCTCATCGTTAATTGTTAATCATTTGCGCTTGTAGACCTTAAGATTAGCAGCTTGTGAACTCACCTAAATAAATTCATGGATAATCTGCTTTTGAGATTTAATTTCAGTTAAATAGAGCTCTCAGTTGTTCTATAACTCTGCAGTTGGATAATCTGCATAAAGCTCTCATCTTTGCTCAAAAATGCCAACCTCGTATGATCATATCATTTCTACAGACCTGAAAGCGAATCAATTACACAAAACCTTAAATAATATTAAATTACAGGCAGAAAAACAAAAAAAAAAAGAACCCTGAAAGCGTTCTAACAAATATAACGTGCAGATAAAAACCCAAAAACAAAGAATCCAATCAATATTAAATCAACAATCCTTCGAAAGATAATCACGGGTCATTGTTGAAAAAATAAAATCTACCAATTGCAGTTACAGAAATTGAAATTTTGCTTTGGTGTTGCAAAGGATTCCAGATGCCGCAAACAGAGGGTTAATCGGGGCAGCCCTAGAAACCGAGGAAGACCCTTTTCTCAGCTTAACCAGAATTTTAAGTTCCCGTTTCTTGTTTTTTCCCTTTTGATGGTTTTGCAGAATTATGAAATTCTTGGTCGTTTTGATCTGCTAAAATCGAACAAGTGGGTTTTAAGTTTTTGGTTATTGTTTATTCAAATATCTGGTCGTAAACATTGATTGGACTCTTTTGATTCTTCTTTCTTAATGGAGCTTTAAATTTTGTTTTTGAAACCCATGTTCCATTTTCCCCGCTTTATCTGGCGTGCTGTATCGTGAAAAAGCACAAACCAATTCTTGATTTGTTCTCTCTCTTGACTTTATGCTTCGAGAACAAGTTGTTAGCATATCTGTATTATGATTTTTTGTTTAGATTTTGGGTTTTCTGAATTTAATCAGATTACTAAGTAATTGTTACAGAGAGACAGAGAGAGACAGGATTCAGAATGTTCAGCAGCAGAACAGAGCATTACGGAAATTCCTCCTAAGGAAATACCTGCCACCGACTTAGTTTCAGAGTTGCCGTATTTGATTCTCTCTTCTTTAAATTCTTCAATTAAATTGCCTTTATTCAATTCTTTTTAAGTATTGAGAAAATTTGTTTTATTTTCTGTATTGTTAGCTTCTCCGTTACTATAAAAGCAATATCAAGAGCATTGAGTTCCTAGTTTAAGTTCGAATCTTAGGTTGGTTTTGTAGACTTTTACGAACCAAATAGATCAATCAATGTGTCTATATGGATATGCAATGCAATTCCGTTGCAACGACCTTGATTTTTCTTTCATTTGTCATTAATATTGATCATTTGTCATTGGTTTCTTAGTCTATTTACCGGTATCCAGAAATATCATTAATTTTCACGCGTATTCTCTTAATATTTAAATTGACTTGGTCTTTTATTAGGTCTTCTTCAACTATCACATTCAAGAATTTTCTCCAGTTTGTATCTTTGTGGAACTGAATTCCGTAGAAGGCAATAATATCAACCACAAAAGGACTTAGCATTATCAAGACTCTGTATTCTTTCAGTTCTTCTAAACCTTTAATGTCGTCTTTTGTTTGGATGTGATTCCCCTAACAACTAATACCTTATAGTTTTTCCAAACTAATTTTGACTGATTAAATACACGTGTACATATGCACAAAACACAATTATTTGCAAAAGGATATGTATAGATATTTTTAAAGGTTTTGGACGATCATAAAGAGGTGTGAGCGATTTGAAATTTATTACTCAAGTACCTATATTTTTGAATTTAACGTGAGATGCTCATTGCTATAAATGAATTTTTCACGTCTTTTCAAATTTGTCATTATTTGTAAATTTTATTATTTTAGTTCGATGCTCCTTCAAGAAAAATCATGAAAGAGTTACAGGCTTACCTTCGGGTTACAATTTATTATTCACATTATTTAACAGCGCTTGCTTGAATTATCATTTTTTATGATGTGACAATTTTTATTTTATGTTGGTAAGAGAGTTTATGTATAACTGAACGTTAAGATTGACTTTGAAGTTAAAAAACAAATCATTGAGTATAATTCGTTTAAAAGTTCTACATTCTGCAAGATTTGATTCATCAATAATTCAATTGCGACAAAATAAAACTCAATCAGCATGAGTTGGGACACAAGTCCTTGCTCTTCTTTACGAAGCTTCAATTTTCTTTGAATCTGCAGAGGTGTAATTCGAAGGGAAAAGGATATATAATTCTTAATTTCCTTTAAATGTGTAAACTATAATGTCAGGTGAGTTCTCGATAAGGATAGCACTTTCACAAGGCTACAGATAACATATGCTGGAACTTATGAAACAAGAGGGTTACCAAAGTTTTAAGTCATAGAGATCATGACACGTCCCATGGAGCAAAAAAAGAGGCTTCATTTTCATGTTTATGACAGTCAAAGTAACAAATTAAGTTGCTTATAAGCTGAAATTTGAGAACGCCCATAAGAATTCATCCTAATGACTTCACAGCTTCACACAGCAACGAAGAGATGGTTTCTTAGTGAAATAATTTCCAACATATGTGGATCATTAAAATGAAATGAAAGGAAAAGTACACGTCGAAAAAGGATAAAGCAATTTCTCCAAGAAAATACAATTTCTTGTATATTGTGAATATTTGTATATATGGACTTTCTGCTTTCTCAGAGAAAATAAAGAAAAGCCTATGCTCAAAAAACAATTTCTAAAACCCGAGCACAAAATTAATCATTGAAAAAAAAAAATCAAAGTCCTCGAATTCCTCATATATCATCCACTTCTACATCATTATAAAGTAATTGGTGAGAAATGCAATGAGTAAGAGGTATATTTTAAAACCCAAATATAATATGTAGCATATATAGCTAATAAAGAAGCTTTTGAGTCTATTAATATGATTTAGAGACTTTAAAAGCCTAAATGCAAACTAGAAAAATCATGACGTTGGTTGAGAATATATTATTAGACTATGAATAATAATACCAAGAGATTATTACTTGAAAAAAATCGAATTTTGAGTAATTTAACAAATTCTAGAAAATTTAAGGACTAAAGTGAAACTTATGGAAAAATTTTAAGAATTGTGATTTTAAGACTTTAGATTGTTGCTTTGATGTCTGATAATGTGATTAGTCCATTTTATGAGCTCATCCCATGATTGGGCCTAGATGCAAACAAGTACAAAGTTTATGAATTAGATTGCAAATGGGGAAAATATATTTTCAGACGAGAATGTGACGAGTCAAGATTATTTAGTATTGAGAATGATTGCCAGATGCAAAGGTTTTTGATTTGGACAATTTTTGATAATTTTGAAATGTTAAGGGACTAAGTTGAAAATAAGTTTTGACGTAAATATTTGACTATTTCAGAGCCAACAAAGGCGGCTTTACTTTCTGGCCACAAGAAGATGATTTCATTATTTTAGTTGGATTCACATGGCAAGTTGTTCTCATGGGGTCGGATGTGGAATGATTCGCTAATTCTTTCATGTATTGAAGGATAAAGCAATTTCTGTAAATCCTTCACATATCCCAATTCCACCAAGGCTCATAATTCCAGCAACCGTGGAATTGCTAAGTTTTGTATAACCAATATTGGTGTAAAATTGATGTAAATATCAAATATGCAGTCTCAAATTTTCTTCATATTTAAGAGTAGAAAATTATTTGAGGAAAATATCTCATTCTCTCCCCTAGAACTAGTCTACTAATGGGACATCGCGTATAGTTTAAATCATGAATCCAACAAATTGCAAGTCAACGACATGGATGCAGATAATATATAAATATTCGCTGCAGTTTATTCTTTGCAACTAAGTAGCTTTCCTATTCGTATATCATTAATTTCCACACATCTTTTCTTGATATTTTTATTGACTTAGTCTTCTATTAGGTTGTCTTCAACTATCACCTTTAAGATTTTTCTCTCCTTTGCGTCTTCGTGGAACTGAATCCCTTAGAAGGCATTAATATCTCAAAGACATATTCTCGATATGATCTGAATCATATCTATGTGGCATTAACAAAATGGCTAAACATTATGCGCAATAAGATACGGTATATTTTGTAACATTCGTCTTGAAAGGAATATCTCAAAGTATGATGAGATGATTCATGTGGTAGTCTAATTTCTCATCACACATTCAAATCCGAAAACTGTTGATA